CAATGTTGCAAAACTGTTCTGAAGCTCACAGAGAAAGTCTGGGTTTTAAAGCACAGTTGTCTACATACTCAAAGAATATTAGAGACATTGAATCTTGAAGTGAAATCCACTCTCAACTAAAAAAAAAAAAAATAATTAAAGCAGATGATAGCCACCTGAATCTACACTTGCTACATCCCAAGTGAAACTGGACTCCACACAAACAGCTGCTTTGCATACCGAATCTTTTATATGGTGCTATACTGGGAATGCTCAGCATTTATTTTGGATACCTGCATTCTCTAAAATGAATACACATTAAATATCAGAAGACAACAACATCATTTACAGAATATGTGATAAATCCCCCAAATATTCCTTTGTGTTGGGTTTGTGTCTGGCAGGGTTTTGTTAGTGGCAGAGGAAGCTACTGGTCAGTCTCCTGTAAGAAGCTTTGAGAAGTGCACCCAGCTCCGAGCTGGACCTACTTCTGGCCAAGGCAAAGCCGATCAGCACCTCTTTGATAATCTAAGAGGAGATAAAAACTGTTGAGCAAATTATTTTGTTTGGGGAATTATTTTTTTTTCTGAAAGCGGTGGTACCAGAGAGAGACAACCATGTGAACAGAGAGGTCAGTGAGGCAGGAGCTGAGGAGGCATGCCAGAACAACTCTTCCCCTTTGGCCTGTGGTGAGATGACAAGCTGAGCCCTTGCAGCCCTTAGAGATCAACAATAGAGCAGAATCCTGCCTGCAGCCCATGGAGGCCGATCCTGAAGAAAGCCGAGTCTGAGGGAAGCTCTCACTGGAGCAGCCCGTTGCTGGGATGACAGTAGCCCATGGAACAGGCCTGTCCTAGCTGCAGAAGTTAAGGGAGAACTGTCTCCTTGAGGAGGGAGGCCACATTGCCACAGAGAACTGTGAGGAGCTTTCCCAAGAAGGAAGAAGCAGCAGGGAACAGTATGGAAGGGACTGGAACTGACCACAACCCCTATTCCTGTCCCCCTGAAGTGGAGGAGGTAGAGAGCTGGGTGCAGAGCTGAGCCTGGGAAGAGTGGAGAGGTGGGAGGAAGGTGTAGTTAAGGTTTGGTTGCATTTATCACTATCCTGCTCTGATTCTGTTGGTGAACTGGTGTTTTGTTGATTAAATGAAATTGATTTTGTTTCCTCAAATTGACTCTGTCTTTTGCCTGTGACTGCAATAGGTGAGTGAGCTCTCCCTGTCCTTAGTCAACCCTTGAGCTGTTTGTTTTCTCCTTCCCCTCCCCCTGGAGAGGGGTAGGAGTGAGCAAGCAGCTGCATGGTGCGTTGTTGCTGGCTGGGTGGGCTTAAACCACGACATCATCTTGTACCACCTTCATGGTTGTTAATCTGGTTAATGAAGTCAGTTCACACTTACCTTCACTCTGCTACAGGTATCAGTGTTGACATCATTACTGTTTGGTATTACCAATGGCATTTACCTTTCCTTATGCTTACACTTGATAGCATAAACAATCTCCTTATATGGCCCAGGGAACTAGTTATGCTAACAGATTTTTGCAGTCAACTTCTAGTCCACTTACATACATTTATGTGCACTTACTTCTGTGTAAATAAGATGTACAATTACTCTGGATTGATTGGCTGCTGAAATTTCCCCTCACTTGTCTTCAAGAGTGGAGATCAGAGATCAGCTAAATTTGAGTGGCAGTAAGCCCTTGAAAGAAAATAGCTTGTTTTTCAGAAAAATACTTTTATTAGAAACACAATAGAAAAATTCAGAAGGCTAAGGGAGACTCCATCCCCTGTCATGATGCTGTTAACATCCAAGCTACTTAAGTCATTCAAGAAGGGTAGGAACACTTCATCACATTTGTTTGTAGTTTTATTTTAAATTTTTCTATTTCAGGAATTTCCCATAATTCTTAATTTTATTTAATCGCACGTCTTAAAAATCTCAGATATGGAGCATCTAAAGAATGAAACTAGGGCAAGGAAATTATTTCCACCTTTTCATACTTTAATAACGCAAAAGTCTAAAGTCTAACAGAAAAAAAAAAAAAAACTAAACTGAAGCAGTGTCTTTTCTACGAGTTTGTTAAAGCTTTTACTTCTTTGTAATGGTAAAGAGGTGAATGCTTCATTAAAATTTTGAATCCGCTTGTACAGGTGTACGCTGTAGACAGTGTGGGAATGTAGCTTCAAGTTTCTCCAGTCTTCACAAAAAGGAAGCAATAATGAGTATATTAACCATTGTTTTTGAGTAGAATATAAAAGTTACCTACACCGGTCTTCAAATTGACAGAAAGCATGACAATCAAAATGAAGTGCATTAGAAGAAATTCACACACCTATGAAGAAAGAGCTCAGACTGTAACTATGTAGTTGTAATCATCACAAAGATGTACTTACAGATAAACTGCACTTTTAATGCTAAACCCTTATTCTAGCTACTACAGAGGTACTTGTGGCAGTGCTTGTCTGAAGTTTTTGACATTTCTTACAGCCCCTGCCACATATTTTGAAAATACTCATTCTCTTGTCAGGAAGCCAGAGATGGACTCTCTATATATGGATACAGGTATATATGGATATATATCTATATATATATGGATGGTTCTAATAACTAGCCCCTCCATATTTAATTATTTACAAACAGTAATATAATGCCTTCTAAATTTTTGTAAAAAAAAAAAATTTTAAAAAAAGCTTGAAAGGTAATAAATGCATTAAAATCATACACAGCACGCTGAATAAATCTGGTTTAGAACATTAGAAGGCTTACTGTGGTTTGTGGTGCTATCTGAACGTGCTGCATGCAAAGGGGACTCAGCACACACTAATGTGACTCTTCAAATGGGCACAAAAATCTGCATCTTGACTTTGGCAACCAGAAGCAGTGACTCCCCTATTTTGTTCTATATTACAATGAGTAGTATTCATATTTTAAGGACAAACCTCTGAATCCTTTTCTCTTAAGATTCTAAAGCCAGATTCCAGATTCCAATGTGTTTAAATCTCCTCTTTGACGTGCCCTTTTGCCAACATGCTCTACCACTGTATCTGATCGTATGCAAAACGTATACATTGGTTGTCAGAGGAGCAGATTTCCTAACACTGACTATCCCTCCCCTTCACTGTTGCAGTAACTGTTATATATAATTAACCATGCATATAGATTCCAGTTAGGTGGATGCCACCACACCAACTAAGAGTATGTGTCTCAGGGATGGGAGGAGGGCGATGTCTGCAAGAGGTACCTACTGACATTGCTGCAATATCTTAGGGGGAAAATGCAAGTTTTTCTTAAACTTTAGTAGTGAGTCAAAGGCCAAAAAAAAAAACCAAAACCAAACAAAAACATTCTCAGGAGAAGAAAAATAGACAAACACGTGTTCCTAAAAGAGATCACAGAAAGCAATTCTTCTATCATTAAAGCATCACTCAAAATGAAAAGCAAAGTAATTGCTTCCAGGTTCAACTTTAAAGCCTCATTCCTAAAACACTCTGTGTTGGTAAATTACAAGCAATCTATCTATCTAGGCAGATACAGAGACATACATATCCAAGATCAACTCCTTTGTAAAATGTTAATTTTGCTCATTTCTGTAATGGCTTTCTATGTATTTTTCTTGATGTGAATCCAGATCAGAAGAAATTCTAAATCAAGCCAGAAGTGACCAGTAAGATGGAGACCAAACGCGGTTCCTGCCAGACTGTACAGACAACTATATCAACAGTGGAACGAGGGATGTCACCTTTAAGGTGACATCAACACCCTAAGCAGCTACTGTCATCACTAAGTTTCCAATTCACACAGTCTTTAAAGGAATTTTATGTCATTTCCTCACCCATTCCTGTGCACCAAGAAGCTTTACCCACACCTTGTAGAAAACAGCCTACGAAGAACAGGCAATAGGATGCAACCACTGAAAGCACTTTAACCATAAGAACACTGACAGAGTAAGTTTGAGTATATTAAGTGGGCAAGAGATAAAATGTGCAAACAATTTATGCAATAACAAGAATAATTTCTGCTGGTTTAGATCTCTTATATGACCTTACGGCACTTAGATTTATTAATAAGCTTTAGAGTTACCCTCCTGTAACTCCACGGTCATGCTTGCACTGATGTACAAGATATGGCAGTTCCGAAAGAGATCAGCTCTAGTAAAGATTCGAACTATTAAAAAATCTTCCCAATTCTCACTGGTGTTTTTCACTGCCTCTGAGCAAGCTAGTCAGACAAGCTGGCTACTGTGAAAGAAAAATCAAACAAATGACCCAAGCCAATCAGAAATCTATGGGTTGTTTTGTTGTCATCCTTGCTGCCGCTCTGTTGTTGTTGTGTTTGTCTTTTTTAAAGAAAACTTAAAGCATACATCTAATGCTCTCCTATTGTCTGAAATACAATTTATTTTTCAGCTAAAACAAGTAATATTGTGTATCAGAGTAGTCAAAAATATAATACATGCTTTCCTAATGGTATTTCTTTGTGATAATGTAGGTTCCCCGAGAGAATTTCAGCAGAAGAAATATTAGGAAAGCAAGTGCCTTTTTTGTTTGGTTCTCTTTTGATTTTGTTTGTTTTTTTACATTCTCTAATAAAGCAGAAAGAACAGAAAGGGAAGTAACCAAACCTCCACAAAACATCAGTAGTCTCTAAGTAATGGGCTACCTTATTTATAAGGAACATCCAGTTATTTATAATGTAGTTATTTAGAACATACCATAACAAACGATTTCAGAAAATTATTCTGTCCAACTGCAGCTACATCATGCTTATTTTTGCCTAGCAATTAATTTATTCCCAAATCTGGGGTCAGAGGCTTTTATTAGGTGTGATAAAAGGTACTGCTTTAAGAAAAACAAAACCCCCACGCTTTAGTTTTATTTTTTCATATTTACATAGACATTTTGGCATTAAAAAACTTGAAACGTAAACCATCTGTACATATAATAAAGCAATTAAAAAGTTTTCATTAATAAAATCTTAAATTGGCGAATTTAACTGAAAATCATTATATTAAATAAAGCAGCATTAAAATCCAACAAATGGGGATGAGGATGAAGAGGAAAATAATGACCATAAAACATTTGTATTCTGCCCTTCCCATCTATCTTTTATGCTAGTTGAACCTTTGTTCTCAGTGTAACCTGAGAAATCTCCAAATTCTGAGTTCCTTTCTCTTGTCTGAAATAATTCCAGCAGGGCCTGCACCGGTGAGCTACAAGAACTTCTCTTCTTTTCAGGAAGAGAAAGTCCATCTGTACACTTCCCACAGACCTCCATATTCTGTTTCCAGGTTTCTCTTTTATTTCTTCCCAAGTAAAGCTTCACTTTCCTGTGCAGCTTTCCAGATGGTGAACTATGCGCAGTGCTGGCAGCTGATTCATGAAGTTCTTTGTTTACCCCAGAATCAGATACTTCAGCCTCCAGAACTACATTGTGCTGCATCTGTTGATGATTATCACATAAGTTACAATGTTGCCTGACAAACGTAGGATTGGCATCTGTTTTTTTCAAACACTTTGCTGGTAGAACTACTGCATTATTCAGTTTTCGTTTTGGCTGCAATAGGTTTTTGTCTTTTCCACTGTTATCTGTAACTTGAGTATGAGAATATAAAGTATATATGCCTTCCTGAAAACATTGTAAATTCTTTTTTACTTCTGGTTCCATTAGTTCTTTACTGAATGGCTCGTAAGCTTGACAGGAATTCTCTGTGTATGCTCTGTCATCTTTCTGAGGGGGTGGCTGTATGAAATTTGATGATACAGCAGTCTCACTGATGCTTGCAGCAGCACAGTCAGTTTTAATATTTTCATATTTATTTCTGAACTGACAAGGTTGTGCCCAATGACAGTAGAGAATGGAACAGATGGATCCAGAAATGGGAGTGGGCACTGGACCAGAGCTGTGCTGCACTCCCGCGGGGCGGCCATCCAGCCCGAGCGCCCGCGCTGCCGTGTCCTTCCAGGAGTAACTCCTCAAGCAAAGCCGCTGCTTCTCCAGTCGTTCCTTCAGCTCATCTGCTCTAGCAACCTTTCCAATAACAGGAGAAAAATATCCTGTACTACATTTCATCCTACAATGAAATAGTTGAAATTAACAAACACTTAAAACACGGGCAATGCAGCTTCATATGCAACTGATTCTAGAAAAGCAACTGAACTGACAAAGCAATTTTTGGTTTTACTTTTAAAGGAAAGCTATAATTAAGAGTAGCAACACACTATTTCTACAGTAACAGAACACCTTATGTTTGAAGTTAATGTTTTCTTACTGATTTCTACAGCTTATACAATCATTTTAAAAATACACAAAGAAGTCTAGTATTTCAGTAAATCTCTACTCACAGTGGTATTAAGAACAAAAGAAGTTAATGAGTATAATGCAGCGACCCACAGATCCATGGGTCCCAATGGGATGCACCCAAGGGTGCTGTGGGAGCTGGCTGATGTTGTTGCTGGGCCACTCTCCATGGTTTTTGAAAAATCATGGAGAACAGGAGAAGTGCCTGAGGACTGGAGGAAAGTCAACGTCACCCCAGTCTTCAAAAAGGGCAAGAGAGAAGACCCAGGAAATTACAGACCGGTCAGCCTCACCCCCATACCTGGAAAGGTGATGGGACAACTCCTGCTGGAAGCCATCTCTAGGCATGTGGAGAAAGTTATCAGAAGCAGTGAGCATGGATTCACAAAGGGAAAATCCTGTTTGACTAATCTGATAGACTTCTATGATAGCATGACTAGTTGGATAAAAGAAGGGAGAGCCGTGGATGTGGTTTACCTTGACTTCAGCAGAGCTTTTGACACTGTCTCCCGCAATATCCTAATTGTGAAGCTCAGGAAGTACAGACTGGATGAGCTGATTGTGAGATGGGTTGAGAAATAGTTAAACAACAGAGCTCAGAGGGTCGTGGTCGGTGGGGCAGAGTCTGGTCGGAGGCTTGTGGCTAGTGGTGTCCGCCACAGGTCAGTAGTGGGCCCAGCACTATTCAATATATTCATCAGTGACCTGGATGAAGGGCTGGAGTGCACCCTCAGCAGGTTTGCTGATGATACCAAACTGGGAGGAGTGGCTGACACACCAGAAGGCTGTGCAGCAATCCAGAGGGACTTGGACAGGC